TATATATAAATAAAAAAGTTGGACTCATTTTTTTTTCAATTTCAAGGACAAACTTAACAAGCAGTCCAGTGATAAAAAGTATGAGAAAGATTCTCAATATATAATCAATATGCCATCATTTGTATTTTTTCTGCATCTTTTCTTCAAATAATCTGATTCAATCAAGTTTAATCAACTCAGTTCGCAGATTTAGGAAGGCACTGCCTCTGCAGGCACACTGACTTTAACTTGACATTGACTTTTTTTTCTTCCCATGGAGACTGAATATCAACTCTTTATTCTTGCATATGCAAAAGAAGGAATACCATACGCATGACAAGATTTCAGAATGTCAGCAATCAAATAATTTCTGTTTCATAATTAAACCAGCATCTACAGAGCAAAACATTTAACTTTCACATCATATATATAAATATTATTATTTTCTATTATGTATTCTGTGGCTTTCTGTTTTGTTGCACCACTTTTATTTCCACTCTCCTTACAGCAGGACGTTGGCAGCTATCCAGCACAGTTCATTGTGAAGCTTTTGGCTGTAGTCAGGCAAGAGGTCAACTGAGGCAGCGAGGACAACTGTTTTCTCCAAATCAACATTTTATCGTACTATGATATGGTTTGGTCTCCATGGAAACTGCAATGGAAATTTCTTCCTAATGTTGAAAACCACGGGAACTGGTGCAGCACATCATGTGTAAGGAACGGCGATTTTAAAGAACTACTGCTTTGTGTGCGCTGTTATGGATGTGTGACTACGGGGGCTGACGGGAAAAAAAAAGATAGAACCAGGCCGAGTCCCAAAGATTTCAAAGACTGAATTTAATGTAGGTGTTATGCAACGGCGTTATTGATGGAGGAACACTCGCAAGCACTAACTTTATATTTCTAGCCATTAACCTACAGACGAGCGGAAAAACAAAATTCAGATACACAAAATTATTTTTTAACCTCTCCCACTAGACCCCCTACAACAACCTAATACTAAACTCTAACTAGCACTTTGAAATACAAATTCCAACTCCTTTATACCACCACATACTGAAACATATCAGTCACTTAATAAAACTTAATCCTGGCGTTAACCCTAAAGTCATCCAAAAATTACTTTTAGAAGCACTGACCTAAAATTGTTCACCGTTCTTGAGCACATTTAGTTCATGCCATCTCCAAACACGCATCCACATTACACCACACATGCTGAGTTTCTTCTACTGTAAGTGGTTACCATAGATACTGCATTGTGAGGCACATGAAGTACAGTGGGTCCATCTCACGTGGGAAAAATCATTTATTTATAGAAGCACTGTGATGCGGCCAGAAACGAGTTTAGACAATGCACTTTTTTTTTTGACTAATCACAGGCACCGTAAGAGGGGCTGCGGAGTATGATGTGCAAGTTTGTCAGCAGTGACTTTGAATTCTTATTGTGTTTTTCTTTGGCAAAATAGAACCAAGTCGCATGTCAGAGCTGTCCATGGTGCTGAAGGACAGATGCACAAGAGAGGATATCTTCAAATCTTCTGTCATCTGTTTTTCTTTCTGTCTATCTACAGTGTAGCGTGCTTCCTCACACCAATTTCAGTCTCTTTAAAAAGAATTCAAACACTCCACTTCTACCATCTGAAAGTTCCTCCTCCCTCAAAAAGGTCAGCAAGTTGTGAAAAGTTTCTTGCAATAATCTCCTAGCTCTGCATCTTGCTCCTTGAGAGGCTGCTATATGTGTTCAAGTACAGAGTGCATATCATGACATGTTTAATTAAATCCTGTTTTGTTGAATAATGAACTAATTAACAAACTCCTTCTGAAGGCTTTTTCCTCCTTCATCAAAACACATTGGATTTTCAAGTATGTCCCGTTATCTTCCCGAAGTAATTGTACTTCCTAAATTGACATAATTGAATTGCTATTCATCCTGGCATACGAGGTGTATTGTTCTCATGGAACGAAGCATACCTAATTGCAATCCATCAGAATCACTGTGCCTTTTTCATCTCAGTTCAGAACTTAAGACTAATGAATGGTTTAGTGATTATATTTTATGGAAATATGCTCTGTTAGATATAATGACCTCTCATTAATTGCAATTGTTCTCTTGACATGGGCTTTAGAATGTAGCGACCGGTTACAAAGAAATTATAAATTGGGAAGATAGAATTGCGACTAACATGTCAGATCACGGTCACCATGCCAGGACAATCAATAAAACTGATGTAAGGAGTTGCCATAGCTGAATTTTATCTCTGCTGACTTTCAGGCTTTTCATATAACAATACGGATTTAGACGGCTCCCAATTTAGCCAGCCTAACCATCTGTTTCTCTGCTCGCTGCACCACTGATTGTGGATGTTTGGTTGGAGGACTGACAGAGTGCACTTCTAGATGTAGTCTCCAGGCAGAAAATGATCCAGTCAGCATTTAAATATCTGTCTATAAGTCAGTCATTATGCTATTTAGGCAAAACGTCAAACTAGCAAGCGCGTCGTTCTATCAATCAGCTATACAGTCAGGTAATTATCCAGGCAGCAACTTGTCTGTCTAGGAAAAGAAATGCTATGATGGAAGGAAATTAGGTGAGCAAACAGGCAGACAAGTTACAGATATATTCAAAAGTGCATGTCAGTCTCTGATTTGGGTCAAGCCAATCTTCTCCCACACAAACAACATCATGTAGCTTCAGATCCTTCTCTTTTCAGAAGTGCTAATTTTTGTAAATGTTAAATATTCTTATAAGTGGTGGCATGCTTAAAAAAACAGTCTACTAAATGTGTGGTGTGTCCAGTACTACTTAAAACAACCAAATTGCAGAGGTGGCTTAAATAGTGATGGCCCTTGTCTGCATCACAAGTATTTGTGTGCGTATACTTGTGACTGCTTTTCTGAGATATCAGAAGCTTTACAAAGCATGTTTAGCACATTCACAGCAGGGAGGAATAGAATATGTTCGCTTTTGCTGTGGCTCATCCAAAATCTCAGCTAGTGCCAGCAATGCAAATCAGGTCAGAAGCCTTTCATGGTCAGTGCACTGTGGTTGGTCAGATGAGTTGACCTCATGCTTTAAAAGATCAAGTTGATCGCGGCATTAGAGTCAGATAACATTATGTACCAGCAAGTCAACAGAGAAACTGAAACTGCCACTGGAATTGCTTCTAATACAGTACTACCTCAGTATATGCCTGGTCTGTATTTCCTACTATTGCCACTGTTGCAATTATACCCACCACTTCTAGGATGGCCACTGCTCTCACCACAATACTCGTGTTGTATAAAATAGTGTCAAAGCTTTCAGTTCTGCTCCCATACCTGTAACAAATGCTGTGTTCTATTTTGAAATATCAAATCTTAGTTTTATCATCCAGTATGCAAAGTGAAATTATGCCCTGCATGTACTTATAATAATGCAGCATACATGATATTTCTTTAAAGAATTATAAATGTTCACCAAACTCTTTCTTAAACTTTCGATTTTTACTTTGATGATATGTCTAACAATACAAGATTGGGGTTTAAAGAGAAAACCAAGAGAATAACTTCAATTTATCAGACAAATTACAGCAATATCCAGTTTTCTTTTAAAAGAATTAAATCTGAATATGCTTGAACTGAAAGTTTCCATATGATTTAAACAATATTTTGAGATCATTATATAACTTCAGCTTTGAGTACAAAGAGACCACAGTTGCATAATCAGTCTTCACAATTTAATGCCTTTAGAAGAATTTCCTATATTTGTATCCCTCTTATGAATTATTGATGGAATCACTATGATATCACTTATGATATGATACCTCTAATGAAAAAGTAATGGTGCACTGGAAGAAAGTATTGTAGTTCATTGATCACTGAGCATATAACCTTACAGAGGCTTGCTGGCATTCGTCAGTGAATATTGGCTTTCGCTTTTTTTTTCTCTCTTAAAGTTGTTGCTGTTTTCAAGAGAAAAAATCAGTTTATGATTATTGCATGAGTTATAATTAGCGTTTTTCCACATAGTGGTGGTACAGTAACTATTCCTCCCACACAATACTGTCTTTGACTTTTTTTTTTTGCACCAACCTAGATGAATAATAAATAAATACATAAAGTGATAAATTTCGCTTTTGCACTTCATTTGCAGGGTTTACTTTTCCGATATTTTTCTTTCTTCCATACACCTTGCACAAAAGGTGCTACTGGAAACTCACTCAGCAGGGTGCAATTTCTTGAACTGCGCTTTTGCAACAGAAATAAATTCATGTTAACTCAGTTCTGACTTTTACAGTATGGTGTTTTACCCCCTTGTTCTGGGTCTGTGGAGTTTGAAGGTGCACTAAATGTACCTACCGCCCACTCCACTCAACCACCTAACTACTATATGAATCATGCTTTCGCTCTACTTGCAGTTTTCGGGTTTTGTATGAACAAAGTCCCGCAATTACACACACACACACACATACAGACAGAAAAATGAATTTGAAATCAATCTGTACTCAAAAAGGTCCCTTGCTATACTGTCCATTGATATAACAGTATTGTATTTGTGCAAGCTCTCTTCCTCTACTTCTCCCTCCTCCCCTTCTGTATCTCTCTTCGCGCTTTTCTTTTCCATCGTCTTTAAAAACACATATAAATAAATAAATGACGACATTCTTCGTTATTTAACCTTCAAAACGATCTAAATAGCAAAGTTGCCGTCGAGACCGATGTATTCCCTGCAAACTGCTTTGTCCCGTTAACGTTAAAGCTCGCGTCGTTCTTCCTCTTCACTCTCTTAAAAACTCTTCAGGTTTTTCCAGCTGAGCGATTCAGGCTGAGGCGGGCGCAACCGCACTAGAGGGAAAGTCAAGTCGTGCTGGACTGGCGCGGTATCCTCTCACGGTTTACAAGTAAAGCAAGATCGGACTCGCATTTTATCAAGCTTTGAAAATGATGGAATATGCTGATTTTAAAAGTTGACCTGGGATTTCTAGTTGTCAGGTGTCGAGGCATGGCTTTCCTTGTAACTTGCTTATTTTTGTCTTGGTGAGTATGGCAACTCTTTTCTCTGCATGTTCTCAGACTTTTACGCATCTTAACCACAGACTGTGGATGCTTGTGCCTTTGAGAAACTCAGTATATTCAACTGATTTTCTATGTGTTGAAATGGGCTTTGAGCAGTGCATATGTACTTTAGTTACAGTGCTAGCAGTGTTTGGGGAAATCAGCACAGTGAGACCAGTATATATTTGGATAACATCACGCGTATATTGGATAGATTACTGGATGGCTATGACAACAGACTGCGACCTGGATTTGGAGGTATGCTAATGGACGTATTATATTGTATTTTGTATAATGTTTCTTCATGATGATTAGATCCATATCCTTCCTTAAAGGATAAAGTTTTACTCAACTAGTTGTGTGTATCTCATCTAGTTTACGTTATCTCTTAGCCGTTTTTCCCCTCTTACATTATAATAAAATCACAAGTTTACTATTAGAAACTGTTCATAAAATTATCACATCTAAAGCATACTGTTTTGTTGTGTGTTCGTTTGATCTGATGTGGTTATTTTAAGTCTATAAATGGCACATTTTATACATATAACTTTATCCCTTAACCTCTTTATATTTTAAGAAATTAACAAATAAGCTGGTCCAAAATTTTTGTCTGCATCAAAGCAACCACTTATCTTTCTGCTGTAGGTCCAGTTACAGAGGTCAAAACAGACATCTTTGTCACCAGCTTTGGACCTGTTTCAGATGTTGAGATGGTATGTCAACTATGCCGACCACTGAAGTACTGATACAGGATACACAAGGAAAAATGTGTGGATGTTATTCACATACATGTGTTTGGTTGATTGTAAACAAAGAACATGTGAAAACAAGATTTCACTGACCACTGTATATGGTCTTTCAACCTCAACTCATGTTACTCCCAGCATTCATTATTCCAACATTTGGGCAGGATGTCATTAGTGCAGCTTAGGATTTTAATCTGGTTGACAATCCCCCCCCACTCCCCCACCCTCCGCCATAGCGATGTGGCTGTGTTAGGATGGAATAGGCGGGCTACTTCTGCCACGGGATAGGCTGAGTGATGTATGTCTGTTGTACTCTACTATCTTTGGTCTTAAGCTTTAGATACTGCTTCACAGCCTCTAAAGCCTACTAGAACTGCCATGCGATATGCTAGGGGCAGTTCTATAGAGGGGTATGTAAAGCTTTTAAGGGAAGCAAGGCCATCCTTGTGATCTAAAAGCTGGATAGACTCATAATACTGACTTACTGCTGACTCTACAGATGAAATAAACTGTGTCTATTTTAATTGTGTATTAATAATGAATTACTCAATCAATTCACTTAACTTTCAGAGCTGGTAGGGAATAAAACATGGAAAACAGAAGTTAAATTTGCAAGAATTGAATAAAAACTATATATATA